ATAGACTCTTTACACTCTTAGTGCTAAGATGGTTGTAACTCCAGTACTTAAACATAGACTCGTGACATTCTTAGCTCTTCATGGAATGGGGCTCTTGGCAGTACAATAAACACTATATTTTTTCAGTAATGACACAAATCAGCCTTCGAAATTAGTTTTTTTAAAGACTGGTCCACATATATTACCATACCTCCAGGACAGAATGATGAGATCTGATTGGTCCACGTGATTTTGATAAAATCGGTGTATCCTGCCTGGGAGGGAAATAAGTTTCTCAGAAGGTGAATAAATCTCTTATACCCCGCCATGAACAAGACAGGCTGCACATGGAATTCCGAGTCAATGAACATTACCTGAAATAGCACAAGCTAACCTCAGCTCATTCGAACAGCTGTTTCTATCAGTTTTGAATTTTTTTGCAATGGCAGTTTAACATAAGATTGTTGTAGCAGTATCACTTAGGGTAAATATTGTTTCATGTGTCCCCCATTAGATTCATACCACTTGGTTCCGTGGCATAAACCTAACGTGGGATGAGTACCCCTCACGATAATCCTACAACTTATACTTCACTGGTCCTCAGCAGGTGTAGCTCGTCCTTTACTATGTTTACATTTTCTATCAGTTTTATTCAATTCCAATTTGTAGCAAAATTGAAGCTTTGAGAGCTGGTTCAGAATTATAGCCCCAAATGCTAGTCAATGACTACCATCATTGTGTTTTTCCTTGTCCTCAGAACAATTTAGAAGTCTCGGGCAAATGGAATAGCCTGAATTTCGCGGGCTGCACATAATTCTCTTTTGTAAAATGCAAGAAACAAGTTCAGCTGGTACAGCCATGAACTGTGGAGCAAAGTTGATGTCTCAGTGGCAACATCAGCAGTGTGAGTGATGGATTGGAGGGCCGATGGTTCAAGCAGTAGTGTTGTCACAATTATCCAGTGTAGGCACCACTATGCACATAATCACCATTAGTTCACCAGCCTCCAGTCCCAGATGTCATGTGTTGATAGTGTCCTACTGGAACACTTAATGTGAGGACAAAACTGTCACGTGTTGATAGTGTCCTACTGGAACACTTAATGTGAGGACAAAACTGTCACGTGTTGATAGTGTCCTACTGGAACACTTAATGTGAGGACAAAACTGTCATGTGTTGATAGTGTCCTACTGGAACACTTAATGTGGGGACAAAACTGTCACGTGTTGATAGTGTCCTACTGGAACACTTAATGTGGGGACAAAACTGTCACGTGTTGATAGTGTCCTACTGGAACACTTAATGTGAGGACAAAACTGTCACGTGTTGAGAGTGTCCTACTGGAACACTTAATGTGAGGACAAAACTGTCATGTGTTGATAGTGTCCTACTGGAACACTTAATGTGGGGACAAAACTGTCATGTGTTGATAGTGTCCTACTGGAACACTTGATGTGGGAAAAAACTGTCACGTGTTGATAGTGTCCTACTGGAACACTTCATGTGGGGACAAAACTGTCACGTGTTGATAGTGTCCTACTGGAACACTTAATGTGGGGACAAAACTGTCACGTGTTGATAGTGTCCTACTGGAACACTTAATGTGAGGACAAAACTGTCATGTGTTGAGAGTGTCCTACTGGAACACTTAATGTGAGGACAAAACTGTCACGTGTTGATAGTGTCCTACTGGAACACTTAATGTGAGGACAAAACTGTCACGTGTTGATAGTGTCCTACTGGAACACTTAATTTGAGGACAAAACTGTCATGTGTTGATAGTGTCCTACTGGAACACTTAATGTGAGGACAAAACTGTCACGTGTTGATAGTGTCCTTCTGGAACACTTAATGTGAGGACAAAACTGTCACGTGTTGATAGTGTCCTACTGGAACACTTAATGTGAGGACAAAACTGTCATGTGTTGATAGTGTCCTACTGGAACACTTAATGTGAGGACAAAACTGTCACGTGTTGATAGTGTCCTACTGGAACACTTAATGTGAGGACAAAACTGTCACGTGTTGATAGTGTCCTACTGGAACACTTAATGTGAGGACAAAACTGTCATGTGTTGATAGTGTCCTACTGGAACACTTAATGTGAGGACAAAACTGTCATGTGTTGATAGTGTCCTACTGGAACACTTAATGTGGGGACAAAACTGTCATGTGTTGATAGTGTCCTACTGGAACACTTAATGTGGGGACAAAACTGTCACGTGTTGATAGTGTCCTACTGGAACACTTAATGTGGGGACAAAACTGTCATGTGTTGATAGTGTCCTACTGGAACACTTAATGTGAGGACAAAACTGTCACGTGTTGATAGTGTCCTACTGGAACACTTAATGTGAGGACAAAACTGTCACGTGTTGATAGTGTCCTACTGGAACACTTAATTTGAGGACAAAACTGTCATGTGTTGATAGTGTCCTACTGGAACACTTAATGTGAGGACAAAACTGTCACGTGTTGATAGTGTCCTACTGGAACACTTAATGTGAGGACAAAACTGTCACGTGTTGATAGTGTCCTACTGGAACACTTAATGTGAGGACAAAACTGTCATGTGTTGATAGTGTCCTACTGGAACACTTAATGTGAGGACAAAACTGTCACGTGTTGATAGTGTCCTACTGGAACACTTATTGTGAGGACAAAACTGTCACGTGTTGATAGTGTCCTACTGGAACACTTAATGTGAGGACAAAACTGTCATGTGTTGATAGTGTCCTACTGGAACACTTAATGTGAGGACAAAACTGTCACGTGTTGATAGTGTCCTACTGGAACACTTAATGTGGGGACAAAACTGTCATGTGTTGATAGTGTCCTACTGGAACACTTAATGTGGGGACAAAACTGTCACGTGTTGATAGTGTCCTACTGGAACACTTAATGTGGGGACAAAACTGTCATGTGTTGATAGTGTCCTACTGGAACACTTAATGTGAGGACAAAACTGTCACGTGTTGATAGTGTCCTACTGGAACACTTAATGTGGGGACAAAACTGTCACGTGTTGATAGTGTCCTACTGGAACACTTAATGTGAGGACAAAACTGTCATGTGTTGATAGTGTCCTACTGGAACACTTAATGTGGGGACAAAACTGTCACGTGTTGATAGTGTCCTACTGGAACACTTGATGTGGGAAAAAACTGTCACGTGTTGATAGTGTCCTACTGGAACACTTAATGTGAGGACAAAACTGTCATGTGTTGATAGTGTCCTACTGGAACACTTGATGTGGGAAAAAACTGTCACGTGTTGATAGTGTCCTACTGGAACACTTCATGTGGGGACAAAACTGTCACGTGTTGATAGTGTCCTACTGGAACACTTAATGTGGGGACAAAACTGTCACGTGTTGATAGTGTCCTACTGGAACACTTAATGTGGGGACAAAACTGTCACGTGTTGATAGTGTCCTACTGGAACACTTAATGTGAGGACAAAACTGTCACGTGTTGATAGTGTCCTACTGGAACACTTAATGTGAGGACAAAACTGTCACGTGTTGATAGTGTCCTACTGGAACACTTAATGTGGGGACAAAACTGTCACGTGTTGATAGTGTCCTACTGGAACACTTAATGTGGGGACAAAACTGTCACCATTGCCATGGGCATTCTAACTATCATGGAAAATGTCTTTGAGTTTTGTCTGTGAAACAAACAACAAAAGTTTTATTTTCACGTTAAAATACTTGTTTTAAACTTAAATATCTCATTTTTCAGCTTCACATTTTATGAATCTGCACTTCTTTAATGGTACTACGGCTAGTGAGGCTGGGAAGTTACGACGCCATGGTCAATAGAGCCAAGGGACACACAAACAACAGAGCCAGTGTATACTAACCCCTCCATGAGCGAATGAGCATGAACGTGTCTGTTGTTTAACGCCACACTCAGCAATATTCCAGCTGTATGACGGGGGTCTGTCAATAATCAAGTCTGGACCAGACAATTCAGTGATTGACATCATGAGCATTGATCCACGCAATTGAGATACAATGACTTGCATCAACCAGGTCAGTGAGCCTGATCTCCAGATCCATATATTCGCCTCTTACGACAAGCGTGGTTACCTGTATCCTTACCCTGTTCCTTCTTGGCTTCAACACGTGGACCAGACAATCCAGTGATTGATATTTATGAGCACCGTTTCACAGAATGGAGTATAATGACACACATCAGCCTAGTCAAACCTTGGAGGTAAACTCAACGTGGTTCCTGGCACAACCAAGGGATGCAACTCTGCATGGTGAATTGCGGTGACACCATAGGCCACTTTGACTAAACTCCCTCATACATCCAAGCAGTCTCTCATTGTAGCTTACATCCAGACAAGACGATGGACAGGATGACAAAAGAGACTGTCATCACTTGTCATGTTCAAATTCAAACATGGGGAAGTCTGTATTCACCAACTGCACAATCCACTGTGCCAACCATATGTACTTCTTTTGCGTCCCCACCGTGAAGATCAGGGGTAGAATAGGTCTTCAGCAACCCATGTTTGCTGTAAAAGGATACTATGCTCGTCATGAATAATAGGTGAATAAAAACTGTATCGGTTGGTCAGGCTCACTGACTTGGTAAATGCATGTCACTGTATCCCAACTGCGTAGATCAATGCTCATGATGATCACTGGATTGTCTGGTCCAGACTCGATAATTTACAGACGGCCATCACATTGCTGAGTGTGGCTTTAAAGAACAAAGAACAAAACCAACAAACTTTGGTGTCCCAGCATTTGCAGTCATCCCAGCCAATTCTACAAAGAATCTGATGTATTATTGCTTATCAACGCATTGTTGCCATGGAGACGAAGCCTTGAGGCAGAAGTTGACAGCATCAAATTACAACAACATGATACGCTATAATATCACATCACACAAACATTCAGCAAGAAAAACCTGCATTGATACTAATTTGTGAGTTTGGTGAAATTTCATTCAAATCAATAACCACTGACAGCTGACTCGTTAATTTCAGATAATTAGTTCACTTACCAGGGGTCTGAAGAACTCAAAGTTGTTGATTGGTTTGTCATCACAGATGAAATAAGCTTGGCCGGCCTGAAATTGACAATGACAGGCAATGTTGACAGTCGGACAGCGCTGTCAGTGACAGGGGCCTCCATAGAGCACAGAGGCACTCAACATTACTACTGGGACGAAAAACTATTTACACTTTTTGGGCTCATTTTCCATTTGAAAAAATAATTTTGGTGTATTCTACAATACACTGGAACCTTTGAGACTGGACAGCTCCGTTATGCAGAGATATTATCAAAAAACAGTTTGTGGTAATCTTGGTATATATAGAGAAAATAACCCATGTATCGCTATGTAAGTTGTCGAGAAGTTTTATACTTTTAGTGACGAACGTTGATGTATATATGATATAAAAAGATACAAGGGCGAGATTATATTTATCATCCAAATCATCCTTCCTGGTTCCAACTTAAATTGTCCTTTAAACAGCAATAACCAGGGACATGAGTGTAAAAAGTCCAGGTAACCAGCGTCAATGGCAGAGGGTTGACGTCTGCATATAGTTTGGAACATCCGTCAGACCAGCTTACAAGATGTTGAATGATTTTGCCAAGATCAACAACAGAATGATTCCCATTTGAAGAGCTAATCCTAACTGCAAATGTTTGCTTTAGATATGATGAAAAAAGTACATGGTCAACATGGCTGGACATCTTTATCAACATTATGACAAAACCGGGATTTCCTTATGGTAATCGTCATGCTGAAGACCCAGGTTCGATTCCCAACATGGGTACAAGTGTGAAGCCCATTTCTGGTGTCCCCCGCCGTGATATTCCTGGAATATTGCTAAAAGCAGCGTAAAAATATACTCACTCGCTCACTTCTTATGGTTGTTGTTGAACAATTGGACTGTCTGCATACATGCTTGATATACATTGTCAACATTAATTCCTAAGTTTGATTTGGTGCAACTTCTACAGTTGAGCACATCTGGTGCTGGACCTACTCACAGCGATGTGGCCCCTGTCCCGGGACAGCCCGCGGCCGGCCAGAGTGTGGGCCTGGACCAGGTTGTCGACATGCAGGAAGTCCACCAGGGAGTCCTTGGCACCATACGTGACGGCCACCAGACCCTGCTCCAGGTACGACTGAAACAAAGCAAGATGAACCCTATATATTATTAGTTATAGTCTCTTTAGTTGCCGTATACGGCGTCATGTTAGATTAGCAGAATAATATTGGGCAAGGCATCAGTAACAGAATTTCCATGTGAAATATGCGAGGTCGGTGTTGGAAAATCCAAAATGGCTGTTACCAGATAGGGATATTGACACAACAAGAGGGTTATCTGGGATACTGAGTCCTCATCACACGACTAGAGGATTGGCTGGGATATTGAGTCTTCATCACATGACAAGAGAGTTATCTGGGATATTGAGTCCTCACCACACGACTAGAGGATTGTCTGGGATATTGAGTCCTCACCACACGACTAGAGGATTGTCTGGGATATTGAGTCCTCATCACATGACTAGAGGATTGTCTGGGATATTGAGTCTTCATCACATGACTAGAGGATTGTCTGGGATATTGAGTCCTCATCACACGACTAGAGGGTTATCTGGGATATTGAGTCCTCACCACACAAATAGAGGGTTATCTGGGATATTGAGTCCTCACCACACAAATAGAGGACTATCTTGAGTCCTCACCACACGACTTGAGGGCTATCTGGTGTCCTAATCATCACCCAGTGCCCCTGATATGACTTTGCTAACCACTGACTCAGTCCAATGCCCCCTTTAGTTGATTAGGCCACATAGACAGTCCCCATGTTAACCATCCAGAACAGGGAAAGAGACAAATTCATTTTCCAAATTCCAGTGGGACAGCAACAGAAGGAGATCGGAATATATTCTCAGAGTCAGACTAAGTGTGCTAAAGGATACAAGTGTCTGGGGGGCGTGTTTAGGACAAACGCCAACACACTGACTGTAGTTCCAGCCAAGACGTATGTGTAGCCAAGATGTATGTGTAGCATCCTCTGTTTCAGATACTGTGCTCAAGTACAAGTAGGCTGACATTGATTTTTACATTTGGTACCATTTAAACAACAATATAAAGAATACTAGGAAAGTATTTACCTATTTCAAGAAGTTAATGCCAGAAGAATAATCAGTCTCAATTATCTGCCAAAACAGATTACACAGGCAGCACCCACCACTCACAAAATATGCATAAAAAAGTAAATATTTGTTGATAAGAAATGCAAAAACACAAAGTGTAGCTACAATATGGCGTAAGCTGTGGAACACTGATCAGGTCTTCCATATTCATATCTTCATCAGCACACAGCTGCTAGACAAACACAGGATTGTCTGTGATTCAGAAGGACAAAGGAATAGATGGACAGAAGAATGGTCGGATGAACAGAAGGATGAACAGAGGGACAGAAGAATGGACAGATGAACAGAGGGACAGAAGGATGGTCCGATGAACAGAGGGACAAGATGGTCAGATGAACAGAGGTACAGAAGGATGGTCAGATGAACAGAGGTACAGAAGGATGGTCAGATGAACAGAGGTACAGAAGGATGGTCAGATGAACAGATACAGAAGGATGAACAGATGGACAAAGGGATGCTCAGACGAACAGAGGGACAGAAGGATGGTCAGATGAACAGAAGGATGAACAGATGGACAAAGGGATGCTCAGACGAACAGAGGTACAGAAGGATGGTCAGATGAACAGAAGGATGGTCAGGTGAACAGATGAACAGAGGACAGAAGGATGAACAGAAGGACAGAAGGATGAAGAGATGTCAGATGAACAGAAGGATGGTCAGATAAACAGAGGGACAGAAGGATGGTCAAATGAACAGAGGGACAGAAGGATGGTCAGATGAACAGAGGGACAGAAGGATTGACAGATGAACAGAGGGTCAGGAATGTCAGATGAACAGAGGTACAGAAGGATGAACAGATGAGCAGAGGGACAGAAGGATGAACAGAGGGACAGAAGGATGGTCAGATGAACAGGGGTACAGAAGGATGGTCAATTAAATGAACAGAGGGACAGAAGGATTGACAGATGAACAGAGGGAGAGAAGGATGAAGAGATGAACAGAGGGACAGAAGGATGAACAAAGGGACAGAAGGATGGTCAAATGACCAGAGGACAGAAGGATGGTCAGATGGACAGAAGGATGGTCAAATGAACAGAGGTACAGAAGGATGGTCAAATGAACAGAGGGACAGAAGGATGGTCAGATGGACAGAAGGATGGTCAAATGAACAGAGGGACAGAAGGATGAACAGAGGGACAAAAGGATGAATAGAGGAACAGGGGGACAGAAGGATTGACAGATTAACAGAGGGACAGAAGGATGAACAGAGGGACCGAAGGATGGTCAGATGAACAAAGCATACTTTAAGCTCACCACACTAGTCAGTTGAGCCTGAAAGGCCTGTTGAACATTGTGTATAAAAATGACTTTGGTCTAACAAGGCCCACGGGGGTTTGTACATATAACATGAGAAGTCCGTGCCACATGAAGTCGCGTGCGGCTCCAGCAGCAGATGTTTGCGTGTGATGTTGACACAACGTATTCATGACATGGAGTCAGACAAGCACACTGTGTGTTTGCTTTGATGATATCCCCAGGGGAATGGTCATCAGTTTCTCCTTTTCTAGTCATGCACGTTTTGGCTATTTGTGAAAAAATGAGAGATTTGGTCACACTTCCTATTTTACAGTTTATTAGCTTGAGTAGGGCAGTGCGGATATAAACATACATTTGTATTAATAAATATTTTTATTTTTTCAGTTAGCTTTAAATCAGCATGTGAGTTAGCTGCCTGCCTGTGGCTAGCAAAATTTTGGTCGGGCTAAAGGTTCTGAAATGTCCCAAGCCTGGCTGGCTACTGAAATACTTTCAACAGGGAATTTCTTTACGCACACCTCAGTTGATTAAAATTATAATAGAATATGACCTTCAAAACTAAAAAAACTAAAAATGAATATGCGTAAAGAACCCATGTAACGAGAATAAAGTTACCTTCTTTCATCTTGTTTGAGTGACAGTTGTAATTTGTAGTTAAACCACACAAGCAGTGTTACTTGACAAACTCTGACTACCCATGTCAAACATTGCGTGGATGAAAAATAAACTGGTACATTTTTAAACAAGTGAAATTAGAAACTGGCCAGCAACTTTTAAGGCGACCTAGCCAGCCTGGCCAACATATTGTGAGACTGTTTCACACACTGCTTGTGTGGGGCAGGTGGTTCTGTACATAAAGTAAATGCTAATTCTGTTTACAAGTGAAGGATTTTTAAATCTCGATAGTAACACGTAGGGGACCATAATAAATAAATGATTAGATTTTCATCAAAGTTTTAATCAAATGTGAGACCAACATTAATTTTGATATTGTTACTCTTGAAACAAACTGTCCAAGGCAGTTGTACATTATTGTCATATGATCGCGGGTGTCGACAGATTCCCACCATGACAACCCTCTTGAGACTCAACACAGACACATTTGGTAATGGCAGGCACTGGTCAGCAACAGGTGCTTGCTGGTCAGTTTGACCCACTGTGAATGTAGTAACTACCAGATGGTGATGTCATGCCTGACCATGCTGGAAGCATTTCACAAATAATGAAACAAGGGAACACATGGTGATTTGTTTGATAGGTATTAGTTAGAAGTTGACAGATGATAAAGTAGACAAAATTTCTGGATAACGTACGTGACGTTTCAGTATAGATCCTTATACCTTTGTCAACCTTGCTTGACAATGGTTTAAGGATCTATATCAAAACGTTGCCTTTACAGTAATTAAAGAGGATGCTATCAATAAATTGTGTCTACTTTGTCATCCGTCAACTTTTTAGTAATGCCTATCAAACAATACACAAATAATGTTCATGACTGAGAATTACATGTCATTGTCAGCGACCTTGAGGATCTACTTTGGAACACATGATGATCTTCATCTGTAGGTTCTTGGGAACAATACAATGAGGCGGGGTCTTTGGTAGTGTTTGTTTGTTTGTTTGTTTGTTTGTTAATGCTGCACTCAGCAATATCCCAGCGACATGTATATGATGGTGGTCTGGAAATAACAAATTCTGCAGAAGACAATCAACTGATTGACATAATGAGCATCGATCTACACAATGGGGATATGACGACATGCATCAACCAAGCCACCAGCCTGACCCCGTTAGTCGTGTCTTACGACAAGCATGTGTTCCTGGGAGGTGGCTGCAGTGCAATATAATTATTACGGTAATTTGTTATATCCTGACTTCTGTGGCAGAGGCATTACTATGCATTTTATCGCTATTTTCAAACATAAACAGTAAACCTCTTTCGCATTTTGTTGTATCTTCATTTTTCTAATCCATCATCCGACATGGGTACATTGTGTGAAGCCCATTTCTGGCGCCCCCCACTGTGATATTGCTGGAATATTGCTAAAAGCGGCGTCAAACTAAACTCACTCACCCACTCACTCTAATCCATCATAAATTGAGCGAGCAGGCCAAAAAAATCCATTATCTGATGAAGAAGCAAGAAGTAGTCCTGGAACATTGTGTATTGACTAACACTTATAACAAATGTTATATTTGGGATAACACTTTCTGAGAAAAGTACAGATTCTCAAACTTTTTTGGGTTGAGTCGCCTCCGGGATTCGAACCCTCACTGCCAGTAAGGCACCTATTCACTAGCACACAAAGTCAGCAGTCTAACCCACGCAGCCACCGAGGCTTCCACAAGAATATCTCGCCACTAGAACAGAACTGTAAAAACAGCACTGTTAATCACAGACTTCATTCCTTGTCTTGTCTGACTGATGATATACATTTTCCCCAAACACTCACCGAACCTTGTCTTGATTAAAATACAGATCACAGAACTGTCAAATTTATTAGCGTCTTGTACACACAATGAGGTAAATGAGAAGAAACTACTGCTGCCACATTTCTTCTCAAATTAACCAGGGTGTTTGATGGAACCAGAGACAAAGAAAACAGTACCCAATGCCGTCAACAGGGCAACCAAACTCGAGGCCTTCTGCAGGAAATTTCGTAAAACGTCAAACAAGTTTCGTGCCAATGTAGCCTTGATCTGGT